TGCTTGAGCAGGAAGGTTGGACTAGATGATCTGTAGAGGTCCCTTCCAACCTTAAATATTCTGTGATTCTGCGTAATCAAATAACTGCACTCCAGAAGATCCCTTTCCAAAGCCTTGTCTTTCATTGCTGTCATATATATGTTTTCATGGAAGCTATTTCTTGAGAGAACATTACATGAAGATGGATTTGAGGTTGTGGATATGGAAAAATAATGTAAAAATAAAAACAAATAAATAAATAATTATAAAAATATAAATAAATATATTTTGTATATGTATATATATATACACACACATATATAAATAAAGCCTGGAATGTAATTATTCTCCATGAAAACATTACAAACTCAGGAAAACAGACTGAGTTTCCTTGAAAGGATATGGCACCATGTTAAGGCCCCAGTAACCCAAACCACATCTTTTTTCATGCTCCAAAGAAAACATATGAAAACATTTACGGCATCTTTAAAAATCACAGTCCTCTAACACGCTACTACAAATACTAATATGACATAATCACAGTCACATGATTATTTCTTGATACCGATTTTTTTCTTCCTGAGTATACTCAGATATTGAAAAGACTTGTGCAGTAGTGAACAGGAGTGAGTAAAAGAYGGGAATAAATAACCATCCATGACTAGAGGAAAGAACAGTTTAGTAATAGAATTCATATTCTGAAATATTTTATTGTTTTCTTTACTGATAAATACAAAAATCACATTCAGGCTTGGATTGTAGACCACAATTCCCCTATGGAAACCATTTCTTAAAAACAACAGCAGATTCTCCTTTACTATYATTTTTGGGAAAATAACCATCCGGATATTGCTAATCTTTAACTCATTAACCAAATATTAAGTCCTTTCTCCTCTATTCAAATATTCCATATTTTACAAAATTTGTAGGAGCTTAACTATTTCCAAGACACTAACCCTCTGTGAAATACAGTTCAGATTTGCTACCATTGGGTTCAAAAACTACTTTGGAAAGGGAGTAGAAGACAGGGATCAAAACATAGATAGTGTGATAAAAATCTTTTTTACTTAAGAAACTCAAAATTTATCATGTCAAGCTGCAACACTATGTTTAAGGCCTATAGAAAGCTGCAAACTCATTGCAGGAAAGTAAAATGGAAAAAAAATTGGTTGCATTATTGAATTGCAAGGAGTCAGAGTCCACAACCTGATCTGAACAACACATACAATCCTAGATATATCCTATGACATGTAGCTGAGGAACTTGCAGAAGAAATGAAGAATATTAACGCTATCATAAAGAGCACTGGTGCAGTCTCATTAGAATTACTGTCACATCTGTCTAAGAAAATCAAGTGCAGACTGAAACACTGGCAAATAAGGAATAATAAGATGATAAGAGAGATGAAGATCGAAGAGGGTACTTAGCTTGTTTAGCCTAGGGAAAATATTCTAATTCAGAAACGGGGTATAAAAGTTAAGAAATCAAAATACTCAAGTATAATGTAAAAGACTAGTGCTGGTGTAAGAAAATATACCCACAGATTGGTCATTGAAATGGTGTCCACAGGGCCCCTCTGCTTGGCGGGCACCCTCAGCGGGGCTCAGCAGGGACCAGGCAGCCGCTGTGGGGACCCGTCGCAGGCACYGACCTCCCCTTGGCACTTGTCCCAGTCCATGCCGTGTCCCTGTGTGTCCCCATGGCCACCAGCGGTGTTTACCCGTGTCCTGGTAACCGGCAGCTGCCGGGCCGGGCCCCATGGCGACGTGAGCGGAGCACCCGGCACAGGTAGGGGCTGGAGGCCCCGCGGTGGGAAGGAGGGAGCTGGGGGACGGGGGACACCCTCTACCCGGCTTCAATGCCCCCCTCGGGGATTTATCCTYGTTGGAAGAATCATTCTTAATAACTGTAACTTTATTAATGTCTGCGTCGTGTGTGTGGTCTGCCAGGGTGGCCATGGGAGCGGCGCTGGCCAGGGCGGCCCAGTGGACCTCGGCCGGCGCYGGCCGCGGCACCCTCGAGATCACCCCCTTGAATGAGTCCCTCTTGAACGAAATCATTAGATTTGTGGAGGGCTTCAGCAGCCGGCACCCACAGGAGGCGGCGTTCGTCTTCCGAGAGCCCCTGGAGTGGAGGACGCAGCTGGGCTGCGCAGCCTTCGGCGCCGGCTACCAGGGCGAGTAAGTGGCGGGGCACGGAGAAAGCCCCAYGAGTCTGGGCTTACAACTGCTTTACACTGAAAAAAATTCACTTCAAATAACTTTCTTGCAGAGTTTGAGGCTGTCGCATCTTGGTTGTGGCACAAACCTGTTTCATGAGAAATTTATTGCAGGAACACGGCGGATGRGCTTTCACTGCTGCTCCGGAGACGTTTTACGTGGCTAGCAGTGATTCATGTCCCTTCTGTGAGTGCTGGCAGCTCCTTCTGATGGGACAGAAGTGCTTTACTGCAGCGATCGAGGTGTATTTGCAAACACACGTTTGAATTACAGTTTCTCTGCGGACAGAACTCTCCGTAGGTTCTCTAGGAACAGACTGTAGTAATATATTAATATGGTTTCAGTCATAAAATTTGGTTATGTCGCTATGTYGTACTTACCAAATATGCTAACGTTTTCTTCTAGTATTTTCAAATTAGTAGTGAAAAAATACCRATAATCGAAGGCTTATGCTTCTTTTTCAGTCTGTCTTTACCTGTCTTTGCATTGCTGCTTAATACTTAGGCTACAGAAACTCCATATATTTCTGTAATTCTTTGAACAGTGGCATATTAAGATTTTGTAGATGTGAAAATTGTTTTTCCCTGAATTATAAAGCTGCTGGGGAAGTTAACAAATTTTGTTTGACAAGTAGACAAATTCAAGCTTGGTTTCAATAACACTGTAGTAATACTCTGTAATGCAGCCTGAAAAAATTCCCTTAAAAGGTGTTGCCAAGGTAGGAAAAATGAATCACCCATGCTGGTTTGCCATGAATTTGAAGGGTTTACATCATAAATTATCTGCACTGCAGTTAAAAAAAACCTGCTTTATCATGTGCAACTTGAACAAAGTTCTTAGTGATGGATCCTTCCCTAAAACTTGCTGTTTATTAAAGTTTTTTTTCCTCATTTTTCTAGTGGAACAACTGTTCAGTCTGATGCCAAAAGCAAAGATGGRCAACCATTGCTCCTCCTCACAGGATCAACTATCAAAGTTCGCAGTTTTGACCAGCTGTCCTATTTGCTACATATTGCAATGGACAAAAAGTTAAAGGAAGCACAAGCATGCCTTGAAGGTCATTTTTTTCCTTTGTTATTTTTTTTCCTTTTCTCTCTTTCTAAAAATATGGCTTCTCCTTTAACTTGCATTTATCAAATATGAAGAAAAGATGGGTGCATGCATTCATTTTAAATATATGACAAAGCATTGATTCATGAAGCTGGAGGAAAGTGCTGACCCAAAATTTCATTAAATTTCTGTTTTTTTCTCTTATTTACATTGAAATCAGTAACGGTGCAATCTGGAATAAAGTTAAGTTTTAAAGTTATTTTTTCAATTTCATGTGCAAATTCCTGTATTCTGAGTAGTACCTCAGTTATTGCAACAGAGAGTACGCTTATATTTTTCAGAAAAAAAAAAAGATGTCTCATGGAAAATTGTTAGCAGTTTTTCCTACACTTGTAATTAAATACTCTTTTAAAAATGTTGATTCCTTAAAAATAGCCAAAGAAAACCTTGTATAGTGAAGAAATTCTTACCTGTGCTGGATCCAGAGCAAACATTCCCAGGCCCTTCTATAAAAGGGTTTTGGAATATGTGTATCAGTACTTTGGAGTCATACACAAATCCTAGCTTTTCAATAATAACACTTCGATAGGCTAACCAGGATATCCAGTTTGCATTGAAGGTGAAAGACACAGGTAATGTTATTTGGTAACCTTAACAGAAGGTAATACATTAGCAATAGTTAAACATAAATGCTTACACTGCATCAAATTTAAGGTCGGTCTAGTCTAGTGCCCTGTTACTGGCACAGATCAACCACAAATAGCAGAGAAAAAATATAGGAACAGGGTAATCACAGGGAAACATTCATAGATGTACAGGACTTCTCTTGCAACAGGCAAAATGTACACATAAAACCAACCAATGTGCAGTTATGTCCCTGTTTATCAGAAGGGACAGCAGTTACAGCTGAGGAAGTTACGGGATATTGGGAATGCTGCTAGAAAACTTTTAAGATGTCTTTAACACTAAAGCATATATGCACACTGATCTGGTTTTAGTGAGTTAAACCCACTGCTTGTCTGATTTGGTGATGACACAGGTATTTTCTGGGAAGAGCAGTGTTGGTAAAGGAAAATGTATTTAATATTCACCTCTTGATGGAATGATTCCTAATCCTTGTTGTAAAAAGCAAATGTATTTATTATCAAAAAGCTTTTGGGTCTTAATATTTTAATCTTTTTAAAAATTAGTTCTACACAAGTCTATTTCAAACTGCACAGGGACATGAAATAATTTCATCATACTTTTATTTACTTTGTATTTAGTAATGATTGATGAATACTCATGCACATTATTAAAGTTCTTATTATAAATTAACAGTGTTGAAATTATTTGGCAGTTAAAATAAGAAAAATGTTAATCTTGTAATGAATTTTCACATTATGTTGTTGCTATTTATTTTGTTCTGTAGCTAATAGAGATCCTATAGTGAATATCCTTGGCCCTGGATATGGGACCATTGAAGGAGAAGATATGTCCATGTTGCATTTGCTTGACAAAGTGAAAAAAGATGATGACCCTGAAACAGAGATTAAAATGAAAATCTTTATACTTCTAAGTCAGCTGGATATGCAACTACTTAACAGTTCTTTAAAACACATTTCACAGTAAGTACATTCAAAATGGAAAGCTAGGCATGTCATTAAAAAAATAGATTTTAAAAATTAAATTAGATTTGATTCAACCCATAATATGTGCTTTCAGAGTGATAAAAAGTTAAAGTAACTGAAACAACTTTCTCTATTCATTAAATTAATGAAAAAAAAATTCCAGACACCTTGCTTTGGCTGTACATACGTGTGTGTGTGTGTGTGTGTGTCCATGAGCATGTTTGGGTTTGGTTTTGCATGTTTTACATTTCAGTAGCAAATTGAATAAATCATAAAATAACACATTAACAGAAAAAATATTTTCCGGGAGATGTTTGTTTCTTCATTGAGGCATATGAAGTATTCCATTCAGTTTGTTCTGTAGTTAAGAAAATTTTGTATTAGCATAACTAATATTTGATAAAACACATAAAATGAAAAAAAAGAATTTGTTCTATTTCTAGATTTTTGTTGACTCGTTTTGCAAGAAAAAAATCCTATTATTTTCTATTTTGATTTCTCTAAGTGCATGTTTTTGATGAATAGATTTTAGACCATTTTCTGTTAATTACAGAGAGGTAAGACTAAATCCAAGTGCTGTAAATAATGAGGTGAATCTTCTCAAGCATTTCTCTGGAAAAGGAGAAGATACAGTACTGGAATCACTGGAATATACATCAGGTTCAAATTTAATACTTTCCTTTTGTTGTGCCTATGTTTTATCATATGTCACATTTATATATACTCGTGACTTCCGCGTGAATTTGCTAAAATAAATTTCCTAATCAATTTAAGCTGTTTATTTTTACTTTAAATTTATAAAGTAGAATAAAAATTTTCTTCAGATATGAAATGTTATTCTTCAGGCTTTATTTATAGAAATAATCCCTAATCATATGACTGACTTCACTGGAAGTAAACTGTGTCCTTGACCCTCAAAAGTGCTGAGCATGTGTTACAGTCCTTTGTTGGATCAGCCAACAGTTCTCAGCATTTCACATGATTAATTCCAAACCGAGGATAAATTCTCAAGAGTAAGATACTGGTTTGAGACCTTGATTTATACACATGTTATATTAACATCAGTCATAACTATTAAAAAATGCATATTTAAATCTGATAGAAACACTCCTGCTAATTGGTTACAGATTACACGTTCTCTAATGGATGCCGAGCTCCTCCCTGGAGACAAATGCACGGAGAAATTTGTTATTTAATCATCAAACCGCATGACACTGATCCTTTGTGTGTCACCTGCAGCACAGCAGGAGTGTATTTAAATGGAGTAAGTAATAAGAAAGGACACCTTGAAGCAACAAACACTTTTATATATTAAAATCAAAACTCCAGCAGGTTTGGGGCTTAGGGTGGTATTGAACCTGTTAGAGCTGGAGAGTTGGTTTATTGGTACTGAAGAAAAATACACAGTAATAAATGTATACCATTTTTAATGCATATTTTTGAGTGCTTGCTCTTTAAGGGTTATACAGGGGCTGCATCCTGCACATTTTACTAGGAGCCTTCATTTAGTCTTTGTGGGTTCCCTAAGAGTCCTTAACACTATTCCTATAGAGAAGGCACTGTAGGATTAGGTACCTCAGTAGTTCCTCATTACTCCTGATCTGAGGTATAATATTATTGTCTGTGACAAATACAGCTTTCTTTTGTCTTATTAATAAGAAATTATTTCTCCTCTCATTAAATGCTTTTTAGATATTGTTTATCTCCTTCTGCTTTTTATTTTGGTTATCTCTTTCTTTACAGATAAGACTTTATTTAGGTGTAATAATCTCCCAATACATTTAAGTAGTGATTAAAGCTCTTAAACCTACTTCAAGAGGGACAGGTTCCCTTGAAGTGTTATTCTACAGATCGTTCTTCCTAGGAGTTAAAAAAATCCAGAGAAATTTTGACTTAGGATTTTTTTAATGGATGAACCATTAAACCTAGGCTTAGTCCAGCCACATTATTTTCTGATCCTTTTTGGACACTCACCACACTGCTCTAGAAGCTCATATTTAGCTGGCTATTTGCTGTCAACCCTGAATACCTCTCAGCAGAACAACCCATGATACAATGCACTTTAACTGGTAGTAATTACTTACAGGCCTGTCTATAAGGCCTTGATTAGCCAATGGGACCTATGGAAGCGACCCGTGCATTTCCACCAAACAATATTGAAGTTTGATGGAATCTGGTGCTGGGCATGAGGCTTCTGTGTATAATTAATTTCATTATGACACCTGTGCTTCTTAGCAGATTAAATGTCCTGCATAAGGCAATGCTATTAAATAATTTTAAATTTATTCTTTTTTTTTTAAGGGTAAGCTGAAGGAGAAAGATGATATTGACTATGAAAGAAAAAGTGACATATATAAAGATATTGTCACATTCTTAAGGGAAAAGTCACCTAAATTTGTAGAAAATATGTCCAAACAGGTATGTATTTACTGATACTGGATAGATGTATTCTTCTTTGAAGCAATGTACATTATAGTTCAGTAAGAATTACATTATATAAGGTATTTGAGAAATGTTAGAATTATTTTAGTATAAAAGAGTAGTAGAACATGGTTGACTACTTATACTCTCATCAAAATTGAATTTGTGATTAAATAAAGAAGTTAGAGAAACTTAAAATATCTTTCTCAGGCTTCAGTCAAGGTAAAATGCAGGTGTCTTTGGCTTTTATTTAGAACTCTACAGTATCTACAGAAGGAGCATGTGTCTGTTGCAACAACATTTTGTAGTGTCATGAAAGTTGTTTTGTCATTCATGTTAAAAATTCTTTCTTCAGATTTATAAAAGGTGACTATAACAGGTTTGAAACTTGGTGGTAATATTCATTATAGACTGTCAAAAGTTTAAATTGTAATTATTTATATGCAACATTAATTATTGCAAAGAGGAAATAATTAATAGAAAATTTCCTTTGCTTTTTGTCTGTTTTTCTGGGAAACAGGGTTGATATTTACTTTTTTGGGGATATAGATGCTTGTTGATTCTGAAAGAACAAAGCATTTCAAGCTGCACACATAAATACAGTAGCTAAACTTGTAGGTTGTTCTGTTTGAAAATAATGTAGTATGTTTTAAACTGTGTTTTGCTTATCCCATACCCAATATTTATTTAAAGTCTATCGACATATTGTTTATATTTCACAAATACAACATTGTATGATAGCTTTTAGCCATACTTACTGTTTAAATGTGTTTTGGTTTTACTTCATTTAATGATTGTGAAAGGTAAAGTATGCATATTAGATAGATAGGAAAGATATGTACATTAAAATAATTTTGCAGTTCTAAAAGTTAGTGCAATATTAAATAAAGCAGATGCCTTGGTTGTTGTTATGCTCTTCTATTAAAGAAAGGTTTATACTTAAAAATAAATAAATGGAATTTATCCGTAACTGCCATATGAACTACTTGTTCTGTAATCTCTGACTTCAAATAAGTTTATACTGAAGACCTTAAATTATATTTTCCTAGTGGATTAGGAATATCATATTGACATGTTTAAGAGCTTCTTTAGTACATTTTACATTCTGACTATAGAATGTAAACAAATTTATACTATAGAGCCTTAGTGCATTTGTATTTAAAGGACAAACACTTCCATTCAGGAGCTCGGAAGAGGTGAGATAACAGAGAATGTAACAAGACAGTAACTGCTGCTGATGTAGTTTTTATGTTTATGTATGCAAAGGAATTTACCTTTGCTTTTGCCTGAATAAATGAATATTCCCATCATCTCTGCAGTGTGATAAATCACATCTAATTCAGAAGTTCCAGAAATGTTAACTTGTTTTTTTTAACCATCTATCCAAGTTTTCCTACATGAAACAAATTATGGCTAGAGATATTTTTAATTTAGGAAGAGCTTATTAGTGTATATCTGCGTAACTGCATATATATGTTATGTATATAACCAGTTAATTTTTACAATATCATATTGACCTTGTTTAAGCTAATTTAGAATTGCTGCATCGCTGCGGAGTAGCTGTAGGGGACACATACGCTTCAACATGTGCTAAGCTGATCAAGCTACAGCACCAGTTCCCCAGTAATGTGACTGGTTTAGCATGTATTAAATTGTGTTGTCTAGACTACATTTTTAGATTTAGAAAATTAATATGAGTTCATGATGAAATGATTGGATCAACAAGCATGGAACAGCTGATTCTCATCACAGACTAATCAAAAACAGACAGTCTCCTTAAAGCTGCCTTGAATCTGAAATGTAAGGGAATGTCTTCTCCTACCTGGTAGTGACAGCCACAATAATAAGCAGAAGTAATGATCATAAGATATCTTTCCTGTAAAAAAAATGAATATATTCTGTTGGAAAATAGAGTTGGCAAGAGGCTGTTGCCTTCTGGATATTTTTGGTTGGCCATGGTAAAAGAGAGGAAAGTGGAAGGTTTGGGAGGTGCTGCTCAAATCCATTCTTGTACACAAGTGGGTCATCAATGTCTTCTATAGAGAGATAGAAGATGAAAACACAGAAATGGAATGTGTTTTTATTAATATTAAACTATATTAAATTCAACTATTTGGAAATAAAGTATAACAGTTTATCATGCAATGTTTTCAATTTTATGTTCATAAATTTCTGTTGGATTTTCATATAAAAATGTAAATCCTTTGTGYAGGGAAATATCTTTTATGTATTTGGTCCAGTGAAAGCAGAAGAAGTTTCCAGTACTAAATCTTAAAACATRTTTGGAATTAGTTTTTATGAAATTGATTATGACACAAATCATTCTATTTATTAGAAATTGAACAACGGCTAATATTCCAGTTTGTTCAGAAAGTTCTAAATTTATCTTGTTCTTTTATTTCTAAAACATTTTARTTTGCATATGGCAACAGCTATTTTTCACCATAGGAATTTTCAGATTAATCTGAATGTTTTATTCTTTTTAAAGGCAATCTGATTTTATACCTAAAATCTATATCTAATACACACAATTTTTAAGGGCTACATCCTGGACATTTTTCTATAGCTTGTTATTTTGATGTGTAGTACTCATACAGTACTGTGATTGATAAATCATATCTCTTTTATTAGGAATATAACTTTTTTAAAGAAACTGCGTCTGAGAAGTATTATCAGCATATGGAAGCAGTTGATGCTGAGGACTCTGGCCAATCCCAGAAACCTTATGATTATACAGAAAAAACTATATATGAGAAGACAAAAAGTTCTTCCGCAAAAAGCAAGTCCGCTGACAGCAAAAAACTAGAACCATCTCTGAAGTGGAAGAATATTGTGCGATGTGCTACCTACAGGTAGTTGTCTTCACAATTTCTCTAACTCGTATTAGACTGGTAAGCATGTTATAGGTTAATTATTATCCTAACAACAATAAAACAAAGTCTACTCTATTCAGATTTTAAAGAATATTGACTAGCAAATTAATCTCTCATTGTTGTCTTCTGTCTTGCAACAATTTTTGCTATTTTTGGTCATTTCAGCAGCAAAAGAAAGCAGGATTATATCTTACAGTCTGCAGTACCTGATCTTCAAGGAGACTCATATTGTCACATTATTAATATAAGTGCTTATATAAGTAATATAAGCAACAAAGAATAGACAATCTTATCTAAACAACACAACATTTTATGAGGAAGGCAACAGATCCAGTATGGAAAAGTAGGGTAACATTCAGAGTATCAATTTTTAGTGTTTCAAAGTCCTTTGAGCCACCTTTCCAATTCTGCTTAACTTGAAACAGTTTTCAGTAATGAGACTATCTCAACATTTCGAGCATTTGGGGATGTTGCAAGAGACATTTTAAGAGCTTTTGGAAGGAACCTAGAATCAGATACAAAAATATAATGTTCAAGGACAAGACCCTTTTTTCTTCCAGGACTCTGTTAGAGCCCAGAAGTAGTAGAATTGGGTCTAATCATAATGTTACACACAAATAATGAGTATTCTTCTCTTTTACTCTTGTGGTTGGGRTAGTATGACTAGTCCAGGCTCAGAAGGATGTTTCATTTTCAAAACGTTCTAAATCAGCACGGAGATGTCACTGGAGATTGTGCCCAGCTCTGACTAGGAATCCTCTTGGAATTTAAATACAGCAAGATGAAAATATATATTTATAATAGTCCACAAATTTTAGTATAGCAAAAATAGATACTTAAGATACAGTACACTTTCTTTTTAATTAATTTCACTGTTGGTTCATAAGCTCTTACATAATGAGCAACCATAGTGTTTTGCCTGTATATAAATATAGGTATAGAATAACTTTTTTTAGCAAATATTTTAGTGACAAAGTTACAAAAAAAGACACTGAACACGGAAGGAGGAGAAGCTCTGCATCTAAAAAAATCAAAAAGAAAACCACCAGCATTTCTCCTGAAGCTGCTTCAAAATGGTATGCCTTTTTTTAATTTTGATTCAATTCATTTATTATCAATACATAAAATAATTGTTGCCATACCTAATATTTGGTACTGATAATTACTAGTATTATTCTAATGTTGTTTACTAGGATTTTTTTAATGTTGTTATGAGGAGACGATGTCATACTACTTTTACATGTACTTGTTCATATTGGCTTATATCTGATAAAGGGAGTGATGCTCTTCATTTGCTTTTAGTAAAACCTCTGAAAAGGATGAAGAAGTCAGTGAAAGTTCCTCAGAGACTGAGGAAGACGAAGAGCAGCCTGAACGTCACCAGGAAGGAAACATTGATTTACCATCAGAATATTGGCAAATTCAGAAACTTGTGAAGTATTTAAAGGTAAAACGGGTGCTTTGATAAATGTTATAAAATTGCCTCTCTTSCCCCTCTAAATTCCAGGACAGCAAAAAAACCCCTCACGCCTTCTACCCTTCAATATATTTTACGATAGCCTTGCTAATGTAATATGTTCAACCCTGGAACTGTGGACTTTCCTATCACCCACTCTTTTCTCCTTGTATTTTTTATCTGCTATTTTTGGCTTACAGAGATCTTTAGATTAAGCCATGTGTTCAGTGTTATTTAAAACTTAAAAAGGTATAATGTTTTTATTGATTATTAGGTTTCTGTTTTACTTTTTGGGTGAAATTTTTCCAAGATATTTCTTTATGTGGATAAAAACTTTCAAGAGTTTTTGTTAAAACTGAATACTTGCCTAAAGTCTTTCATCAGCTATGATTAATGCATGACTGAAATAATTCTAACGTGGTCTTKTGTCTGGATAGATGCTGTTAGTGGACAAGAAAATGTATGATAAATAGGCAGCCTCTAAAACAACAAAAGAAGTTTTTTACACAGACTTGTTGAAAATCTCTTGGACCATACAAATATAGATGTTTGTAATTCTGTATGTCTGACATACTTGGAAAAAAAAAAAAGACTCTAAACTGGAAAACTTTAAAACTCATTATGTTTTTCACTCAGGGGAAATTCCTTTACAAGTTTGTATTGGAATTTAAGTAAAGCACATTATTATTATTATTATTATTATTATTATTATTATTATTATTATTATTATTATTATTATTATTATTATTATTATTATTTTAGTACGCAGTATATACATCCCACAAATACAATGACTGCGCTGGCATTAGATATAGCAGGAATACTAGTGAGGTGTAAGCAAAGTTTTGGCTCCTTCCTGTCCTTTGACCGTTGTCATGGAATAACTCCTTCTCTCCGTTAAACAGTTTTTAATCCACTCAGTGCTGTTTCTGAGCATATGTGAGACCTATGGCAGTGGTTGTAGCCAAAGAGAAATATAAATGCATGCATAATATGGATCTCTCTATGGTTCATTATGCCTTGACATTTTATGTTGAAGATTTTTATTCATGTTATTAATGCTGTGCTAAAAGAYCCCTTTGCAATTTTAATCTGTTGTAATATTCAGCATCTTACTTGCTCGGCTGTTGCTGTAGTGCTAAGTACCTTACTTGCACACTTTGCATGATACACGTGTTTCTATTTGCATGGAATTACAGGCCAAAATGTTGTTTTCAAAACTTTCAGTCTGCTCATGGCCTGACTCGTTTGTGGTCCTCCTCCTCCTTCACTTTCCTCAGAGTTGAGCTTTTTAGTAAAGACCTGAGGTTCTCCTAGAAAGACTACTTGGAATTCCTTAGTATTGATGAACCCTCAGAAATCATTCAATGCCCCATATATGGACCAACCTTTCTACAGATAAGGCTCTTCAGTCCTAATTATGTAATTTTCAGGTCATTTCTTACATAGATCCKTAATAAGGTTATGTTTAGATTTTAGTAATGAACATGCATGGAAAGATGTCTAAAATTACAGGAGACCGTTTAGAATAAAGTGTGCAAATGGCAAATGGAAAATACATTTTCAATGCTTCTCTATTTTAGAAATTAATATACTTTGTTAAAGCTGTCAAAAAGCAGGATGTCAAAATGACTTAAGGGCTTAGAATTAGAATGAGAAAAATTGATCAAATTGTGAGTACCTGAAATGAAGTGTTTATAATACAAAAATCAATCATGTCAAGTGTAGTTTGTTATGAAAATTCAAATGCAAGTCTATGTATGCATGTACACAGGGTCTTTCTATAGTTTTCTAAATTAGATATAAGTGAACAAAGAAGGACGTAAAGACAGAATACTTCACTAGTGATTCTTAGCTACGTAAAGCAAGAAATCCCTAGTGTCAGATAAAGCTGAAAAGAGATGCCTCAGTGCCATACCACAGACAGTGGTTGAAATGCTTTATTGATGGAGTGCTACTTTAACTTGCACATGGAATTAATTTTAATTCAAGTATAAATACTGCAGTTCTGGCCAGACTTAGCAGATTTTTTGGCATTCTTGTTGTTCATGTAGGCAAGTGTTCATGACACGTGCAGCGTAAGAGAAAATACATGTACAACTCAGATATTTAAGTATCTACAAATGTATTTATATAGAAGCACAATTTTGGGGGGGACTTGAGTGTCTTCCAAGCTTTAATAGATTGTATGCACATCTTAAAAATGTGCAAATGCCTTAATAGCTGTTTCAGATACAAAGTTAGAAACTAGAATATTTTGTAGGTGCAAATATTTTTGAATGCCTGATCAAGTAAATGCAATCCACAGTTCAGTAAGACAGTATAAAAGATCAACCTGCAAGCACAGCACGTCCATAAAGCCTGAAGGACACCGATGTTTTATATCACCGTTAGCCTGTCACTGTAATTTGGGAGACAGTTGTTCCTTACATGAAGCAAACTTGCCAGGTCCTGTGAATTGTGCCTGCAGACGGCGTATTTGTGCATCTCTTCATACATTTCTGAAGCAAATTGAGTGCACAGGGAAATTCCCTTCTGACTGTTTGCCCTGCTCCATTTCCCCTCCTTCCTGGGAAGCAGCAGCCATGTTGGAATTGCTCCACTGGGAAGCAGCTGCCTCTGTGGTCTGGCTCCTCATCCCACCTTCAAACTTCCCAGGCCTCTGGCAGGGCAGATGGAGCGCGTTGCTCTTGCCAGGTCTCCCCATAGGCTGAGGAGTGGTCAGAGAGCAGACACCAGCGATAGTGGGGTAGGTGTGGGAGGCATCTTCGGGGGCTGGAGTAGATGTAAAGAAGAGGAAGTGGTTTCCTGATGTTTATAACAGTGAGACCCGCTCAGGAGAGCCCGTTTCAGATTTCATAGTGTTTATTAATATAGTGCCTCTTAAATATTAGGTTTCTGGGAGAAGGAGGGCACTTTGCACATGAAAAATGAGGAACAGGGTGGGGAAAAAAATAGGAGTCGGGTGGGAGGAACATCTCTCATAAGTGTCTTCTTTTTCTAGAAGAGGGGAGCATCAGGTAGCAGCACAGAATCCTCTGCACTGAAGAGTTGTGATGGACAGAAACGATCACTGCTTGGCTGTGGCCAGATAGGGCCTTCCACAAGACTTTCTCTCCAGTTCTTTCCTATAATAGTCATACCTTGCCTGTAGGCAGGGGTGGTCGCACTGATATTCCAGCAAGTCCCAGGAAGCAGTTTCCAGTGTCAGCTGAGTTTCTCCAGCATTGTTAGTTAAACTGGTTTCAGGTGAAGCTAAAGGGTGGCAAGATGAGTTTGCCAGCTACTAAAATGAACAAGATTATTGCAGTGAAACAAGCTATATTGCCTGCAGTGTGGGTAGTCAGGCGACCTGGGCTGCAGGAGACCAGCAAACTGGTACACCTGGGCAGGTGAATATGCCCACCCGCTCCTGCATTTCTCRTAGCAGCATGGATATCTGTCAGGGACAAGGGCCTGTCAGGACCCAGTGCTTCACAGCAGGTGAGGAATTTTATTTATCTTCTGCACTAGGCAGCAAGTCCCACAGAGTTCCTTTAGGCGGCAGAAAGTAAAGCTTGCCTAAAGACCTGGGGTTCTGAGGCTGGTCACAGAGAATCGAAACCTAAAAGGGGGGGAAAATGATTGGAGCTGAGCACCCTGCTTGTGCTACCTTCTTCTGAGCACTGATTATTGCCAGTTTTAAGATGTTATGAGGTGAATTGGGGCTAGTGACTGCACCAGGAATAACTCCAATCTCCAGGGTAAGTCTTTAATCCTTTAAGCCCTCATGCTGCTCGGTTTTGGTTCCCTGTACTGGGGTGATTTATGTATTGCCCTATGCCAGAGCGGTCCCCCTGCAAGGGCCTGTGTTAGTTACAGTATTCCTCCTTCAGTTCCTCACCTGGGAACTTGTTGTACTTTTGGCTACATTCCAGGAGTATATTAGCAAAACCAGTCAAGTCTGGCACCTCCTGTAAGATAGTCATGAATTTGGCAACTCTTTAAAATAACCTTTCATTCCAACAGAATTGTGTTTCTTTTCTACTGCAAGACCTCAGGTGTTGAGCAAACCTGGTGACTCTGCCCAGCTGTTTCCACCCTTGAGCCGGGTGCTGGAGCTGGAGAGACAGCTGCAGGCTGCCCTGTAGGAAGGAATAGGTTCCCTCTTTTTACCTGGAGGGTATCAGGATTCTTAAGGAAGAGAAGAYGCTGTGGGGCTCTGCCAGGAGCTGCAGTGCAGGATTTGAGAGGGGAGGTTCACCTGTATTCCCCAGATATCTAGAGGCTGAAATTCAGAGGCTTGAGGCAAAACAGTGTGCAGGAAATGTGTGTATGTATGGAAGATGAGACTGGGGGGGTAAGCAAGGTTCAGATTATTACAAAAAAGAAGTGCATGCCACAACATCCAAATGCCACAATCTTAAATGTTAGTCTTGGTGGGGGAGAGTTTCTCTGCAACCTATGTAAAGGATTTAAGAAATGATGTTTCTGTACTTGGAGAGGAAGGAGCAACTGGCAGGAAACAGCTGGCACGCTACCTTGGTATTTATTGGTGTCAAATCAGTCACTGTTTATGTCTAAGATGAGGGYTATCATATCTGAGGTCTAACATTTTGGATACCGGAAATTTCCTCATGGAATTTTTTCTGTAGAAAACAAATAGATGTTTCTTCAAATAGATTTTTACTTGTTGTGCAAATGCGAGATTAGCTAAAGAGTGTTACGTAGCATTGCCAGCACCCCACAGTTTAGCAGGTGCTCTAAATGGCACTCTTGTGTATGAACCATCTATAAATTTTGTGGCACTGGGGAAGACAATGATGGGACTTGCAGATTTTTTTCAAGAATTTTGTGAATGAGAAGGCAAACTGAGTATTTTTTTAACTGCATAATGTAAAAATATAGTTTTTTAAAAAAGTTATAATGGTGATGGAAATGTTTATTATTATTGAGGTTACAGTAATACTCATAAAATTTTAAGTTAGCTTCATAGACTGTGTACAGATTAA